TTTTATCCTACGAGTATGCACAAAACGTCCAGGGCTGAATTAATACGTTCAATTAATAATCACTATAAGTAAATATTATTTATAACTGATCATGTGATATATAAAATACATGGATAGCTATATTGTATTAAAATAAATTAAACCATAATTATATAAAACCCATATCTACGAAGAATTGAATATTCTCTTTACTTACGCAATATTGTTTTTTGTTCCGATATTCGAGTATCACTGGAAAGCATATACACTGTACTTAAACCACTATTATCAGCTACTGGATCATTAATCTAATTAAACAATAATCCATGTTTAATTACACCATATGTGACAACACTTTTTCAATTATACTGTGAATGTTTAGTTGATTAAATAAAATTTTCTAGTTCATAACATTATGGCGCATTCAGATGAAATCTAGTACATAGACTGCAAACCAATGAAGCGTTATTATGTGTATGACGTCATAAATTAATACACTTTTTTAGGCGTTTCTAATCTCGTATATTAATTTGGCAATTCGATAGATCAGAACATATAAAAGAAAAATTCACTGGGAAACATAGAAATACTTTAAAACACACGCTGTGGATCTTAACCAATCAGAATGCTTCATTGCATCAGAGGCAGCGGCACGAATTTGTGCATGGGGGGGGGGGGTCTGCTCACCTACCTCGTGCCGAAGCCGAAGCATGCTCCCCCTTAAAATATTTTTAATATAGACCCTTCGAAACACTATTTCCTATCATCTCGGACTATTTCATTCGATGATGTTGTTGTGTTAGATCACATATTTAACCTGATCAATATGGAGATCGTACAGCCCAGTCAGCTTGTCTTAATTTCAGTATGAAAACAAGGACCACAAATCCCAAAAAATCAACACTAATGCATCTATATTAATTCACGATTTGCGTAACAAATGTTTAACTTTAATAGCATATTCCATTTGTAAATATGGGTATGCACCCCTTTTCCATTACGACAATCTGCAATATAGATTGCAATACATATATACATGTACAGATAGTTATGGACGGTGGTTTTTAAGTCTTATAAACATTGTTACAGAATAACTATGCATGAGAATGTATACTTACAAAGCTAACACAGATATTCCATAAAGTATATGAGATTGACTAGCATTAATGAAATCATATGTAAAGTGTGGTGTGATTGATTGGGAAATTACTACCCAATATAAAGCAATCGTAAACGTAAGTGTGCCATGGTGTGTGTGTTGAAATTGTTTCACCAACTAAGAAATGTATTTGCAGATCAAGCACGGTTTAAGTAGTATATACTTATCTATGTACTAAGCTCTCAAATAAGTTCCTTGGGGAAAGGATATCCAAACAGTTTAAAGTCCATTTTATATAATTCATAAAGTTTAATTATATCCTCTGTTGGGATTTGTGAAAAATACTTGAAATACACATTTTCGTCAGAACTATTAGTAGCGTGATAACTATATTCCGGGAAGTTGACATTAGTAACACCAATGGAATGAAGTAGGTAGTTTGATTCTTCGACAATATTTTCAACATGGCCAATAAAATCATAAGAATATTCACATACTGAGCACAGTTTATGCTGATAGTCCCAATGCTCATTAAAATCCGACTTCTTTTTCAACAAAAATTGAATAAATTCGTAAAATGTGACACTTTTCCCACTATGTTTAATATACATAGACGCATTTGGACGAAACTGGGATATTATCTTTACCCCCACGCTCCTCTCCTCTGTATGTCTATCAGGGTTTTCTAATTTACTCCTGTATGCAGATAATAGTCTCTGAACGGATGACGTACAAATAAAAACGAAATCCAAACGTCGTTTATGAATTTCCGCTAGCGAAATGGTTTGATATTTATTAAGACCGAATTTGGCGCGGTGCAATGTCAAATTTGTCAACAGCCCCTTTCAAAACTAGCAAAATTCGTCTCCAATTTGTAGTACCAGCTTTAGGAATGCGGCAGTATGCAAGTCGATGTTCGTCGTTGTATACCAATTGAGGACTTGTATGTGGCGTGTGGTAATCGGTGGCACCTGGCTTTATGTCAGCGCATACTCGCTGGATGAGCTCTTTGCGATTTCGTTGTATTTCGCCCATGTCCTGTGCAATTAAGATAATAATGACGTATTGTAAATAATGTAGACTGATGTAACACCTTGTGAACTACTATTGTAATTGTCTTAATAGGTCCAAACAAATAACCTTGTGATAAAAGAGTGCAACGAGGCTTCCACAAGTCTAGTTCGATGTCGACAATATCATTATGTCAGTTCAACCAACTTACTTACTACACACAGTGACTGTGATTATTCACGATTGTACGTGGTTTGTACTAACATATATTGGCCGGTAAAAATTTTGGTAAAGCTCACTAGTACTCAGCCACCCGTGGATGCTTCATGAATCCCGAAAGCATTCATTTTTCAAAATATTTTTTCATTTCTAGTAGTAGGAATTTTTGTTAACCGTAAATCAAACTTATAACCGTGCTATATTGAATGGATGGAACTTAAATTAGTGATGTTATTATCCAAGGATTAAAAACATTTTTAGCACCTCTAAAAATTGTCTTTCGCCAGAGTTTCAGGTGAGTTTGATATTCTTATCACACATTGCAGAACATACAAATTTAATAGGGTTCAAAATGGTAATCCAGAAAAAAAGTTTTAGAGAGATCATTGTCCAATTATTGTACACATCAATACGAATTCTGGATAACGTATAGACGATGGTTCATGACATAATATACATGATACCACGTGTTGGTTATTCAGTTGTGAGGGGGTTTCAAATTTAAATTGCGCACGGGATTTGCGTTGATTGTATTTTAAATGGTCACAGTGTGGGTGTGCATCTTTTGAAAAAGGACGCTCCATGTTTATCAAACTTCGTGTTTAGTTTTCAAACAATGATGCCAGAAGTCAAAACTATTTGAGTAGTCTGAATAACACCCTGCTTGGCACATTATTACAAGTGAACAGAATACGCTATCAACAATCCAGGATGTTAACCTGCGGATGAATAGGACTCTAACATAGCGTGACAGTTTCAAAGAAAATAGGCAAAACCAAGTTGGGGAATGACCAATTAGCATCAACATTACCCAGTGCACATTCTACGAACACGTATAATAAAGCGGATACAGCGCTCACACAAATCAATTTTGCAATTTTCAAGGTAAGTTTAGTTTTTTTAGTATTTATGTATTTTCCACTTGTGCCTGAACTCTGAAATGTGAAC